TAGATAAAATGAAAATAAAACCTCATCTAGCAAACCTCTCAGTTATAAGGTGATGCTGGCAACTTTTCCATTTTCTCGTGTTAATTTCAAAGTTTTAGGAATCATAAAAAAATGTAATGAAACTGAAAACTTGTCCTTTTGGCCTGGTTTTCATATGCTGTGTCACATATGTCACGCTTTAAAATACAATGGGTTAGAGGATGTAATTTAACCGCTGCCATGTTTCTGCTTGTTAGTAACATAAACACTGTACGGTATGTTTACAGTCCATTTATTAGCACAAGTATAACTGTATTGTAATGAATTGTATCTAGTTTGCACAAATGCAACTCAGTCCAACCCAGTATCACGGCACAGCGTGTAATAGACGCTGGTCCACCACCGTGTAGATGTCAAGCTTTGCCTCTCCAAAGCGTGAAACGGACATGCATGCTCAAGTTACAGTATCAGCAGGGGGAGGTAATACAAAGAAGGTATGAAGTACCTCCCAGGCTCCTTCTACGCTGGAAACAATTAAGCTTGGTGACTGATATGTATTTACATGTAAATGTGTTTTTGATGTCTCTTTAAATGTTTTCCCATGATTCTTCTCACGTTGGCTTCAAATAAAATATCTTCCTCTGGTGGTCGATCGGCCGATGTGTCTATTACCGCACGTCTAGTCTCTTCCGAAATCTTTTTCTTTTTTAAGTAACTGACCAAGAGTTATTAACTCCAGTCCAACATAAACAGCTCAGCTCTGCTCGTGAAGGCGGATCAATGTAGCGACACCAGCAGTAACATTGCAAACGTGGACATCACTATGCCGCTATGGTGTAGGTGGGATGTATGTGGATTCAATGAGGTGCTATAAGCTAACACTACATCAGATGCAGCGTGCTGATGTGCAGCAGCTGTGGGCAAACTAAGGCAGCTTAAAGAGCAACTGATAAGAGATCGATGCATGGAAGAGTGATGGTTCGTGGTATGTTGTGCTTTTTCTCCACTATCAAAGTATCTGATAAATAGAGAGTGCTGCTTTTTCTTTGTGAGATGAACTCCTGATAAACCCCCTCATTTGTTCCGGTTCTTAGACGTCCTTGTGTGCAGATAGGAAATTTAAGAAAAACATAAAAGCTCCCCTTAAGGGTTCAAGAGCACATCTGCACAAAACATACGCGACAACATTTAAACGTTGTCAGTTACCCTCAGCTATCTTTGATTCATATCAGCACATCCATTTTTTACTATGTTAATAAAAGCTGACAAAGTTTCCAGCAGAAACAGCTCCGGGATGATAAACGCAATTCACGTCCGGCTGAAATCCTGACAGCGCCAGCTGACTGTTTCTCGTCCAAAGCAAACTTATCAAGAGGAAATCAGAGGAAGATATTTGACAGACTGTAGAAACATCTCACTGCTGTGTGTCTGGAGAGGCAGGGCTGTGACAGGAACTCGGGGAGAAGCCATTAAAGTGGGATTTACAAGGTAAAGAGCATTAGAGATGTCTTCAGGAGGATTTAGGGGGGCCTGCGAGGCTGCAGATGCAAGATAGCAGAACTTCCACTCGTCTTTAATATCGGGAAAGATCTTAAAACCCAATTAAAGATAATGATCTGTGAAATATTGAATATCTCTTTACTTGTCTGAATGTTTACATCATGTATGAGCGTGACGACGATCGATGCTGGGATACTGTTTTTAGAGTCCCACTGAGGCGGGAGTGTACTTAAACTCAAAACTGAGTCACAGTTCTGTGCAAAAGTCTTGAGCCAGCCCTCATTTCTTTATATTTTATTGGTCTAATGTGAACTTTAAAAACAACTTACTGATCACCAATAATTAAGTAATCCAGTTTATCTATTTTTCTGTTGTACTTGACTTTCAACATTCAACAGTATTTTTTGTTGTTTTTATTTTTCTGGACATTAAAAACACAATTTTAATTGTGGATGTTGCACATATTCCTGGATTAACCATTACAGAAACATTAAAATCGATTACTAGTACAGTTAATTTAGGGCAGCTGTCACATAAACATTGGGTTTAGTTAGTGGTCTAATCATTTGTTAGACACTGTATACATGTACATACATAAATAACATTCACTGAAGGCAAAAACATAAATATGCTCCCTTAATTCCTTTATAGAGAAACAACCTTGAAAGCAAACAGCTAATGTTTAAGTCTGTGAGCACTGGTTTGCTTTAAGTTTAGAAACAGAGATTTAAAAACTTTCCTTTGTGACATAACTCGAGTCTCCTTTAAACCTCGCTTTGTGTTCAACGCTTCAGCTGACAGAACCCAGTCGGGCGTCCGTTAACGGCCGTTATCGGGAGCATGCCTGAGCTCTCTGAGCTCTAACTACAAAAGTAAAACTGAAAAGAGACAAATGAGCACCTTCCCGCTCAAACGGCTCCCAACAGTAACAGTTAAAGACACAGCGGCTGTGTCATTTAGGCTTATCAGAGGGGCTGAGCAGAGGTAGGTGGCATTACCTGAGCTGTATCATTTACCTACATTTACCTACGGGTAAGGCGACACTCGTCACCATGTTATTTACCTAAAGTGGTGTACAGTTAGCAGGCAGTAAGTGTAGGGCTGCTGTGTCAGACAGTAATTGCTGTTTGGATAAAGGCTGAAAGAGACCGAGCTCACAGTTAGTCTGGCTTTAGTCAGGACGTCTAAGCAGGGATTTAATTTTGGAAATGATCTAATAATAATTTGCTGTTTTATTGAAGAGCACGATTCACTGATTTACATAAGAAAAACAGGGCTATTTTAGATAAGCAGCAACAACCAAATCCTGTTTATTTATACTAAAAGGATTTTTGCTGCGTTTCACTATTTAATATTTGGATTATGCTCACTGATTTGCACTCACACTCACACCTGTGGACAATTTAGACTCACCGATTAACCCAACACGACTACATCTATGTCTTTGGGCTGTGGGAGGAAGCAAGAGTACCTGGAGACGACCTCTGCAGAAGAGGATGGATGGATGGATTTATGGATTTTTGGATGGATAGATCGACTGTTTTTTTCATGCTTCATTTAAAGGGTAATACCGGTGGCCTCACCCATCAACAACCCAGTTTGTAGCCCGAGAGGGAAAAATCCAAGGATAAATAGGATTTTTCTGAGGAATAAAAAAAAGTTTAAAAGAATGACACTTTCACTTTCTTCTAGTGCACTTTCAGTTACTGATTTGGAACAAAGTAAAGCTCAAAGAGCAGTGACAAGAGTGTAAGATTTAAAAAGCAGGGTAAAATAGCGTGTAATCCTCAAACAGCGCTCATAGGCGTGGTTCTGCTGTTTTCTAAGCAGTTCATTTCAATGTTAACCACAAAAAAAACAAAAAAACAATTGGCAGAAAACTGTCGCAAACATGAGTAAATCAGTTTGTGCTCTTCATTTAAATATTCCCTGTTTCATAAAATGAGAACTCTCAGAAATATATATGTAACAGGCGCCCATTTCTTACATTAATCTTATGACTTCGCTCTCTTTGTGTACTGTTTTTTTTTTTTTAACGCCGGCACTCGGTCGATTCTGACTCAAAAGCAACATTTAAAACTATGGCTGATGTTTTATTGCTGTAGCAACTGTGATTTACTCATTTTTAAATCTTGCCAATAAAGCAGCAGTTTGTATTGGAAGCATTAATATCGCCACCTTCTGTTGTTTTAGAGAGTTTGTGTTTGTTTGCAGCACTCGCACGTCTGGCCCGATGATGCTGAAGCTTTTTTAAAACCTCGTACAGTAATTTATTAGAGACCAGCAGGATCACACTGACATTTAAAAGTTTCCTCTTAAATTCCAGCCATAAATCAGAGGAGTCAGCCGCTCTTTTGCTCGATACTGAAGTGCAAACAGATGACGGGTGATATATACTGTGCGTATGTGTCATCACCACTAATCAGTGAGCTGATTCCATCATATTCTGCCAGCCTTTGTTTGGATGTTATTGTTAATTTCATGGTAGCGGTGATGAGAAAATAAGTTCCTCGCCCGGAGCCACATGCTGTTTTGTGTTTACTCGTTGATTCGTCTTCTGGAGAAACCACATTTACAGCTATTGATGAGAACTGTCGGAGCTTGCATTACACAGTCTGATACAGGCGTCGCTTTGATATGTGTCAAATAGCGATAATGTTTCTGGGTGTTAATGTATGTAGCTGTACGATGGAGAGAGATAAGGCCTGGAACTGAAGCCTCGAGGTAATTATTCCTTAATTAAATGAAGGTAATGTACTTGTTTCCTCAGAGTAAAAACCATAATTAACTGAAACCTCAAAGAGGATCAGTGCAGTTATCAGTACAATAAACTCCTCTGTGTGACTGTAAAGCTGCCAGATAACAAAATTAAGATTAAGTAAGATAACGACGATGACTCTAGATGAATAAAGGAGTGTTTAATAGTTCCTAACATCGAGTGAACAACTGTGAAACTTGAAGTTGTTTTTTTCTTTTTGCAAAACTGTGCCAGAGTCTGCAGCCAGCCCTCATTTTGGATGCATAAACATATAGAAATGCAGTAGAGAAAGTGGAAAAAACACAGGCTCTACAATTTTAACAAGCTTGAAAGACAATATTTGGTGTGACCACCTTTATTCTTTAACACAGTCTGAGCTGTCTTAGGCATCTTATAATTTCTGATGATACTTTGATGTGTTCGTATTCCACCGATTTTAGAAAGACACACCTCTTTCTCTAGAAGCAAAGTACAGAGAAATGTAAATGCACATGAGCAACTTTAAAACTACTTTGTTGCAGGTTTTTAATAATAAAATTTTAAATATCTACTAATAAGAGTTTAGCTGAACTAAGAACTTCTTAGATCCATCAACTATCTGAGAAACTGGGTTCAACACAGACTTTGCTACCAAGTTGAAGTCTTTCAACAAGTTTCTCAGGTGTTGTTATTGGACTTAAACAAGTGAAGAGGACATGAAATGGAAAGCATTTCCCCAAACTCCAGAGGAGAGTACACAGTTGAAAACTTGTGAAAGACTCACCCTGCTTCCTTTCTCTGGAAAGCACCTGCACCCTCTGCTGCAGTCCAAGCCGTCACATGGCTCATCAAACTTGCCACCCTGAAGAAATAAAAAGGTGACAAATTAGAAAGAAATTCTGGGAAATGCATGAGATATGCGATAGCTGTTCCAGATCAAACTTTCAGGTGTTTATCCAAAGTGGGCGAGACATCCTCTCCCTCCTTTTAGTGGAACTGTGGGGTATAAAAGTATGACACTGAACACGCCGCTGCAAGAGCACCACTTCAAACACCTTGATAAAAATATGGCAACAATCAAACACAGCAACGCAATGAGTAAACAACGCAATGAGTCACACCGACAAAATTTGCTGCTGCTGCAGCTGCCAGACACTGACAAATTTGATGTAATTTTAAAAAGGTCAAAAGTTGTTAAGGTGGATTTAGAGAAGGCAGAGGTGCTTATTGATGAAGTGCAGGAATTTTTTTTATGTATTCTCCAAACACAATGCATGCCATCACGTTCTGTATGGTGTTTATTATCCAGTTGCACTGTTGCAAGTCCAAAACTGAACCAAGACTGCAGAACCAGTGATGGGGAAACCCTTCACCCTGCAGGGCGCCATCATAATGCTTTCTCAGCCAGAGCTTTCTCAACCATATTTGGCAAATAAGAGAGTCTGTATTAGTGAATAAATGAAAGCTTTATGGATGAATCTAATCGTAATCCAACTTTGTTATTCGCTTAAATAACAAAACGTACCAATCGGCATGTTAAAGGCTTGGCTCATAAAGCTTCCTGAATTTATGCTGAATTGGGATGATTCAAAGGTTCTCACAACATAAAATGCAAAGTGTGGTCGATGTTTTTAAAGAAGCGCGGCTCTGCATTTATCGGTTTTGCATGACTAATTATACTCCATAACTAACAGCCCATCATAATCAGAGTGGACTGCTTTTTCAAAGCATGACAAGGACACTGTGTGATACAGCTTCACACAACCTTTTTCTGATGGCCACCGAGCATTAAAGAAGGCCAGACTGTACTCTCTGTGACCTCAAACCTGAAAGTAACCCAACGTGACCGCAACTGTAATACAAACCAGCTTTAACCTCTTAAGCCCCAACGCCTAACCCATCTCCTGCCTTTTGCCCCTGTATCTGGGGGCGTTGGGGGTTAAGAGATTAAACCAGCGTTCAAGTTACAATCTGAGATCTGATCTAATGTCAGCGTACAAATAAGCCTGAAACACTTTCAGTGAGAGAAACGTCCGATTCAATAGTTATTATTACTATTATTGCGCCATGTGACGGCACGCTAGGGTTGTGCTGATTCTCGGGATTGAGGATGGGAGGAGTTTGCCGATTTTTTATAACAGTTGTTGGGTATTTTTCATTATTATTATGATTATTTTTATCATGTGTATTAGGTAGTGATGGTATCAGTTGAGAGCTCACATGGTCAGGTTAAGTAGAAGAACTATCATACAACTAGCATGCAACTAAAAGTGCTGTTCATGGTTCTGAAACAGCAGCAGAGAGAAGCACATGTCAGCATAACTCAGCCAGTAAGAGAAGCAGCATGCTCACACAGAGTTCATACAGTAATGATGTCTGATGTGTGCATTGACTTCTTCCAAATGACTTTTGTGTTTTCTCATTTATCTGCACTCAACACAGGTTCAGTGTGCGTGACATTCGGCTACTGAAGCTCTAAAACACTCCTCTGGTGATCTGCATTTACAGGAGCTTTTCTATATGAGATTCGGTCCTTATGGAAATTTTTTAAAATTATAATAGATAAAGTTTCATTTTAATGTTCAAGCAGCAGCCTCAACAAGCAATCTCACTTTAAAGTAGACCTTTTATGTACATTTCTAAATGACATATTTTTATTCTTGGAGTGCCCTAGAGTAGCTTTGCATGATTCACAGTTCAAACTGATCCCTCTTTATCTTATCTCGGTGCCTCGATGCAGTCCATTCTCTCTCTGAAACAAGCTGTTTTAGCTCCTGTCTCCTGAGACAACTTTCCTCTGATTGGCTGATGGTGTAGCTGGTGTGCCTAAGATGTCTTAAAGCTGTCTGAAACTGATCATTCAGAGCAGTCTAAAGCCTTTCAGGTCACAGGGATTACTTGTAATATGTAATATGAACATCCACTACTGGAACGGATTTCAAGCTCAAGAATATGAATCCTACATGAACTTACAAAAACTGAAACAAAGATCATGCAATACGAAACGCTGATAAACATCTTTTACTGCTTATAAATACTGAAGGAAAAGACGTTCAGATGCAGATTTACCTTCTAGAAAGGTGTAACTTCAACTCTTCAGTCATACACTTTGATTTTATTATATCTGTTACATATTAATGGAAAAAAATGAATTTGGTTTATATGTTGTAGTATCTGCAGAAATTTGCAGAAAAGCTCATAAAGTTTTATTCTTGACCTTAACTGTCTGACTTTTTGGGTCATCATCAGTCAAGACCCCAACCTTAACTCTTACTCCAATCCCATCCAATAAGAATATGTCACTTTCTATTTCTAGATTGCCTTGTCAAGGAACACAGATAACTTTTGCTCATGAAAAACTGTTCAGTTTTCCCAAAAAAGTCCAGTTTGCCTTTCTTCAAAATAAAGGGTTAGGGTTTTCAGTTGTAATGATGTGGACCTCAGAGGCAAGTTTATTTTTTATTCAGAGGGCCAAAAACTAAAAAATCTTCACTACATGTCAGTTTGTTGGCACTGAACAACAATGCATCAGATGATAGAGACTCCCCGGTCATCACAGACCTGAACATGTCTTTTTTGCAGCTTATAAACTCCAAGTGAACTGCAGATTAACCTTTTGGGTTCCATTCCTGAGATATCTATGGAACATCACACGGCTCTTTTGGAGTTTATAGGCCACCCAGAGAGAGACAGCGAGAGAGAGAGAACCTTTATAAGCTGACCCATGAGTCTTAAACTACACGAGGCTCTGTAAACTTCAAAAAACCCAAACACATCCATCCGTGCTTATGGATCCGATGATGAGATAGACGAAATCTGCGAGTGCTCGTATGGATCTCTGAATTTATTGATGATGCCTGAAATTTTGTCACCTGCTCAAATAAAGTGTTGCAGTCTTGATTGTTTCTGTGTGAACCCAAGAAAAAATGCTCTATATGAAACAGCTGTTTGAACCTCTCTCCAGGGTCAAACTCAAGGGTCTTGGCTGACATTTCACTGACTGCTCATGAAGAGGAGAGACGGATAGAAAGACGTCAGTTGACATCTGACGAAGATGAAGAGGACAGATGTGGATGAGGATATGTTGTGATGAGGTTTGAAAGTTTGCAGGGTGGAGCTTATGTGTTTTCTGTATTAGATCATATGACCCCAGACTGTGAGAGCAATAATCAAGGTTGAGGTTCGCTCAAAAGTTCCAATCCAAATGGCTTTAAAATTTCTTTGAGTATAAAACTAGAGAGATTCCTGGAATTAGGCATTTTTTTCTAGAAGACAAAGTTTATAAATATTTTTAGCAAAGAATATTAATAGAGAAGGACAGACCAAAGAATACTATTGGCAACTTCACCTGCTACAAGTACTACAACTGCTGCTGCTGCATTGTGTGATTGTAGAGAAAGAAAAGTGGAGGAAAATTCCCAACAATGAGAAAGTGAGCTTGGCACAGAGTAGGGAGAGAGAAAGAGAGAAGGAGGGGAAAGGTCATTGGTGCTGGTCATGCTTTTATTCCCTCTGATCTCCTCTATTGGCCTAATCACAATGACAGAAGGAGGGCAACAGAGAGGGAAACAAGAGAGGGAGAAAAAAGGGAGAAAGAGAAAGTAGAAATGGGGGGAGACCAAAAAAAAAAAAAAAATAGGGAGGGTGCTCAGATTGAACCTTTGGCAAAGAGGCTAAAGAGACAAGAAGCTAAAAATAGAAGCACAGCAAGTGATTTGGAGCATTTTTCCTAATCACAATGAAATCTTTAAAATATTTTTTTTTTAAAGGAAAAGAGGCAAGGATGATGGGAAATCTATGGAATTAGAAAATAATAGCAAAAGAAAGAAAAGCAAAGGAGAGACTTCAGATTTGATGCTGATTAATAGTCTGTGCATCTCAGTTCTCAGATTTCAACTTTTGATTTGGGTCTGTTATCCTTCTTTTGTTAAACCACAAATTCTTCCTGGTGTATTGTCCAATGAGAGAGCACTGATTCAGATTCTCTTTGTCCCCGGGATCCTCACTTCTGGGCTCTAATCCAGGTTCCACCTGAGCAGGGCGGAGATGTGCTTGGGCACTGGTGCTTGTTCACTTCCCTCTGCCCACACCCAGACTTTAAAGATCAGGGATGATATGTGCAAACAGATGCTAAGCTGCAGATCAGCGGGGGAAAAAACTCAAGAGTACAAGCCGAGTGATGTAACGGTGAACGCGGAGAGACAAAACATAGTCACGTGCACGCGGCAAAGAACTACTGTTAACAGGAACACGTGAGTACATTTGGACAAGCAGACACAGGTATTACACTGTACTGCTAATCCCAACACCCTAAAGCTCAAACATAAATGTCAAAGGAGACCTTTAAACATGACAGAACAGTCAAATTTTCCTCTCTATGAAACTCAGAACAGCACACACACACTTACAGAGCTACAGACAGCTAAGATTATCTCATAGAAAAGGTGAAGATATCAGGACAATGAGCTTCACAATGTGAATGCTACTTGATCATCTCTTGTGTTCTCTCGTGTGTTTAAGGCGTGCTGAGCACTTTCTGCTGCTGGACAACATAAAAGCAAAAGATACTTCATTGCTGGAGTGAAGACAGAAGCAAGCTTTCTTGTGTTACAGGGTTAAAATTAACTCTCAAGTAACTCAAACATTTCTCACAGTCTTAGACTTTTCGACAAATGAGAGCATGTTTCACAGTGAGTCTGTAGAGAATGAACTCTAACTTCAGCATCTTGGTCTGCAGGTTTTAGTCTTTGTTCAGCTACGCAGTCCAGCTAATACTGGTCTAACAACTAGTCCTCCATATGTTGCAGTTCCTGGTAAGAACAACTTCTTAACTCAAAAATCTCGGGGACAGTCCAGGAAGGT